CACACCATACACCACATATATACCATGCCCACCTCACATATGCCACACACTTAACCCATGTACACCACACACACCACTCAGATACCATGTCCACCTCACACACATCATGTCCCACACACACCACACACATACCCCATATGCACCATGGACTTTTAACAGCACACAAACTCTGCTGTCATTTATTTAACGGTTCTCTTATTTATGGGTACTTAGGTTTCCAGTTTTTTAAAAGATTGCTGCAATGAAAATCTTCAGACATCATTTTTTATACATGTGAGTCCTCCTGGAAATGGAGTTTTTGGGCCCAAGGATATGCCTATTTAAGTTCTCGATAGAGAATGCTGAATTGCCTTTCTGAAAGGCTTCATTGGGACGCCCTCTAAAGAAATACACTTTTCAAAAAAAGGGAAAGTTCGCAAAAAAGCAATTGGCTGCCGACAGCTGAATAGAGAGAGGGGGACTGTCTGAGGCCATGAGGAGGGGAATGTGGCAGCCTGGGAGAAGCCAAGGACCCGGGAAAGGGCGGCACGGTTACTAAGGTTTCCTTTGCTGTTCTCATCCTCCCTGCCCTCCCTCCACACCCTCAGGAAAGCAGTACTGGGGGAAGTCGGTAAATAACTAAAGTCCCGAGAATTCTCATGAACACTCGTCGATTTGGAGAGAGAGGGACTGTGATGTGGGGGTTTGGGACGGTGCCCGGAGCCTGATGGCCTTCATCAGCATCAGGAGAAACCCGCTTTCCTCCCAGGCTCCTCCCCAGGATCTGGCTTGCACTGCATTCTGGGAGAATCCCATAGCCCCACCTTCTTTTGACCCATTGGCTCTTTAATGGTATCCCATTCAAACATTTAGACCTTTGAGTCAATCAAGTACCATATTAAAAAAATAATAGACTTAATTTTTTCAGCAGTTTTAGGGCTTTGGAGAAATTGAACAGAAAGTTCAGGGAATTCTCCTGTACACTTTCACCCCATTTCCCGTTTCCTCATTATTAACGTCTTACAGTGGTGTGGTACGTTCGTTACCATTGATGAGCCAGTATTATTATTATTTTTTTTGTGATGGATTCTTGCTCTGTTGCCCAGGCTGGAGTGCAGTGGTGCCATCTTGGCTCACTGCAACCTCCGCCTCCCAGGATCAAGCAAGTCTCCTGCCTCGCTTCCCAAGTAACTGGGACTACAGGCATGTGCCACTATGCCTGGCTACTTTTTTTTTGTATTTTAAGTAGGGGCGGGGTTTCATCATGTTAGCCAGGATAGTCTTGATCTCCTGACCTTGTGATTCACCCGCCTTAGCCTCCCAAAGTGCTGGGATTACGGGTGTGAGCCACCGCACCCAGCACGAGTCAGTATTATTATTAACTGGAGTCCATAGTTAAAACATGTTAGGGTTCACTCTTCATGTTGTATATTTTATGGGTTTTGACACAGGCGGAATGACTCGGCTAGCACGTCTTTGTTTTCGTAGCTCCTTAGTTGCTTTTTGTCTTACTAGCTGACTCCTGTTTTGAGAAGACCCTTTTGTCACATCCTTGTGCACCCTGACTTCCCGTGGTGTGGGGCAGGGATGCTGGGGTCTCTGGAGAGCGGCCCTCACTGTATCCGGCCCCCACTTCTGCCCCTCTCTGGTCTGAGCACCCTCCCTTGCTCCTTTCACCCGCCTACCCCAGCACAGCTGCCTGCTATTTAGATGCCACCATGGGGCAAGGAAGCCGCCCCCAATTGGTCGTCCAGGATTCTGCCCAGATCGGGATTGGAATCACCGTTGAGTGTTTGCTGAGTGCTTGGGAGGCACGGGTTCTGCGGGAGGGGCTGCAGGCTCAGGCGGGTTCCTTGAGTTCTGCAGCGTTGCCTGCGTTGAGCCATGGTCGTCTCCTTTCTGTGGGTGAGAGAAGAGGCATAGGGAGGTGAAGAAGCATTCCTGGCGCCACAGAGCCAGGCAGTGGCAGAGCCGGGTCCCAACCTAGGCCACTGCCCTTGGTAGCCAAGCCGCTTCTTTGTTTTGGAATGGCCGCCTGGTCAACTGGCACACGGGGAGAACTCAGGAAAGGAGGCGTGACTCACTCCTGAAGGGAGAGGGACACAGGAGCAGCCTTGATGTGCTGCGGCCCCTCCAGGCCCCAAGTCCCTGTCCTCAGGGGAGGTAGGACTCCCAGGTGTGTGGGGCAAGCCAGATGGCCTCCCCGGCCGTCCTCCTCTCCACCAGCCTTCCCTCCTGTCGCCCCTGGTGACCGCATCACTGTGGGAGCACTGTGGCAGGACGCATGTTAAAGGAGTGCCTGATGGATGTGGGTGTGGGTGTGGTGGGGATGGGAGTGGGTGTGTGGGGGTGCAGCGGGGCCTGTGCAGGATCCCAGTTGGAGGGGGCTTGCTTCAGAGGCTGCTGCTGGCCCTGGTGTCGCCGTGGCGGCTGGAGAGCAGGCGACTGGTCGCTTGGCGTCCTGCGTGGGGTTGTTGCCCAGGTCAGTGAGCGTTTCTGTCCCGGCCGCTCACTGCCAGGCTAGACAGGGCCGCTCGCCAGTTCATGGTGGGGATTATCTGAGAGTTCTGGAGTGTTCTGCACTTCTCTGCGAACCTTGTACCTGAGTGGACCGGAAGAGAGGCTGAGCCAAGGGAGACAGGCAGGATGCCACACGTGCCCTGCAGGGCACTGTGGCACGCACGGAGCCTGGAGCCCGAGCCCCGCCTGCGGCTGTGGAGTGGAGGGAGAATGAACAACTGACAACTCCCTCGTTCACAGGCGGCCGCACCTCTGCTCCTGGTCAAATCGGCTGCGTGCTTAGCCTCAGGAGCATGTGGCAGGTGGCAGCCTGCAGCCCCGTGGCAGGTCACGGTGGTTTTGCAGTGTGGTGTGGGGCCGGCCAGGCTTTCTCTGGCTCAGGATGCAGGCCTGGGTCTTCCCAGAGCAGGCAGAGGTCAGGGAGGAACTCTTTCCCCGTGCAGGTCTCCTGAACAGCTTCATCAGCACACCCTGCAGCAGGGAACTGGTGAGCGTCCTGCAGCCAGCTCGCTTGTCCCAGGGGGGCTGCGCATGTTCAGCCCTTGGGACAACCTCTGCATTTCCTTTCTGGGGGCTCCCAGATGAGCCCTGCTCCCCCAGATCATCCTGCACCATATTGATGTGATAACCCCCTCCACAGTCAGAAACGTCTGGTGGCCCCGTTTGTCCGTGGGATAAGAACGGGCTTGAGCATGGCTGTCGGTGCTCTGTGTGGCATCAATAGCATGTTCTGTGGCTGTTTCCTTTGCCACAGAAAGGAAATGCAGCCCGGTATCTTTGTAGCCTGGCATCTTTGACCCCCAGCCCGACGCCCCCTCCTCACCCACCAGAGGCCCTTGCCCAGCCTTGGCAGTTGTTTGCATTTTTCTTCCTTCTTCAAGGCTGCATTTGAGGGTCTGCTGGCCGGCAGCGTCACATCCAGCCTATAAACCGTGTGCCCTCTTGGGGCCAGGTAGGAGCCTGTGAGGAAGTGGGAGAGGTGGTCATGCATGCTGGTGAGGACTGAAAGAAGACAGGGCTGAGAAAAGTGTGATTGCCCCCAGAATTCAGGGATGCCTGCACCAGCTGGGATTTGAAGAATGAATAGGAGTTTGCCAGGAAGGTTCTAGAGGAACAACGGCAACAAAAAGCTTCCCACATGGGCACAGAAGAGGTGAGGCACAGATGGCACAGGGATGTGGTATGCGATGGGCCAGGCAGCCATGGGCAGGGTCTAGGCCCAGGACCTCAGGTGTGCTTTGCACACCGTGGCTTGGAGGCAGTGGCCTTGTCATGCAGCACTGTGCCCCCATGGGACCCTTTAGAGTCCCCGGCTCTCGGCGTGCCCCTCATGCCCACACCACGGTGGGGGAAGGCAGGTGGGGTTTTGGCTGGGTTTCCCCCCAGATGGCCAGTACTCCCTCTTGTGCTTCAGTATCAGAGTGGCCCCATGGTGTGGGAATAAATGTTGGGGTTTAGGGGACCTCCAGGTGGGTGGCCTGCTCCCGGGCAGGAAACAGATTAGAGGAAGTAGCAAGTCGGAAGGTAGCAGCTGCGGATGTTAAAGCCGGAGGAACCTCCCGAGGAATGGATGTGAGCTCCCTCGTTTGACATGGTAGAAAGATGACGGTGAGGGGTTGGGAGCAGGTGCTGGAGCTGGGACCTGAACCCCCATATCAGTGCTCTTACCATTCTTCGTGGTAAGGAAACTGAGGCACAGGCAGGTTACACAGTCTCAGCATGTCAGTGGCAGAGCTAGGACGTGACCCAAGGTGTCTGTCTCTGCAGCTCAGTTCTGGGCAAAGTCCGGGCAGATGGCGCTGATCGGTAAGGGGTGCTGGCTGAGCACTGAGGATCACCTGCATCTCAAGGAGAAACAGTGTCACTTGCTAATCCGATGGCTCCTCTGGGCACCAGCACATGGGCACCATGACCCTTTCTCTGTAAGGGGTTTGTTTAGTGTGTTTGGTAGAACATCCCCCAGCCTGCTAGGTGTGGCATGCACTATTTAAAGATAAATAACCCAAATTCCACAAGCTCCGTATCTCATGCAGCATTTTGTAATTTGAAAAAAAGAAGTTGGGAAGAGAACCTTGATGAATGTGTTTCATTTCCTATCAGAGCAAATGAAACCTGAAATATTAATGGCACCATAGTTCTCTTATCTTCCTACGAAAGGGCTTGAAAAATGGAATCCCCACGAGCCTAGCACGAAGCCCTGCTGCCCGTGGCCCAAAAGCATTAGCTGTCCGCACTCACTGACGTCTGAGAATAAACACGAGGGATCACTTGAAGACTTGGGGAGAATCACAGTCAGCCCGTGACTCTTGGTTTTTTCAGACGTTGGGCCGCTCTGGAGAGCCTTGGAGTTCCAGCTGCTCTAGAGGTTCTGGGGAGGCAGCTCTTCGCCCCCCAGTGTGTGGCCCGTCATTGCCACCTATGACCGCCCCTCTGTGGTGAATCAGCGGTTTCCTTTCTCAGCTGGTGGACACTTCATTCATTTGTGCTCTTCTTCTTTACAGTCCCCTGAATATTGACGCATTGCCAAATCTCCTGTGGACAAACCAGCAAGAGGCCAGGACTGTGGACGGACAGGGTGAGCGTCTTCTTGTGCCTGGGGATTCCGAGTGAGTAGAGCCCATCACGGTCACCACTGCTCTCCGTGTGGCCTTTGCGCATGAGTCTGGGCGGATGTGCTAACTGGGGGCCATGGGAAGAGTTACAGCCACTACGGCCTCACCTTTCTCGCACAGAAGCTTAAACACAGCTACGCTAAATATTTTTGCTCCCTGCTTTTACAAACTTACATTTATTTTGAGGTGAAAGGGGAAGAACAGGCATTTGTAGGGGACCACTTGCCAGGAGAAGACCGTGCATTTCCTGTGACCACGTCAGTCTGACTCTGAGATCCGGTCCCCGGGACACCCCAGGTCTCTTCTCCCAGCTGCACTGAGTGCCTCTGTCCTCCAGTGGAGCTGTGCTGCTTCCTTGGGCAGCCTTCCTTCCCCATGGGGTGCAGATGGGCCCGGGCGTCCTGGTGGTCAGTTCCTCCCAGGGCCCTTGAGGAGGGGCCGGCAGAAAGTGGGCAGGCTCTTTCTGCCTGACGTGACAATAACAATTCCTAAATTCTGTACCCCAGGCTGCTCGCCTTGACCCAGGTGGCCATTCCCAGGCATCGCCATGTGAGCAGGGCCCACCCCCGGGGCAGCAGCCGGGCAGCCAGAGACACTGGTGGTCACCACAGTTAGTCCCCACAGGCGATTATGCAAGACACTCTGGCTATGTCCTGCACTGTTGGGACCTGAGGGCTGTCATCTGCTGGGCACTGCTAGAGACCAGGCCTGGTTAGTTTCCTGGGGAAGTCTCTTTTTTGAGACAGAGTCTCTGTGTCTGTCGCCAGGCTGGAGTACAGTGGCGCGATCTCACTGTAACCTCCACCTCCTGGGATCAAGCGATTCTCCTGCCTCAGCCTCCCAAGTAGCTGGGACTACAGCTACCCGCCACCACACCCAGCTAATTTGTGTACTTTTAGTAGAGACTGGGTTTCACCGTGTTGGCCAGGATGGTCTTGAACTCCTGGCCTCAGGTGATCCTCCTGCCTCAAACTCCCAAAGTGTTGGGATTGCAGACCACCACGCTGACCTGGTAGCACAGTTGTAAGCTTGGCATGACCATCTCCCTGTGTCTCTATCTGTGTATCCAAATTTCCCCTTTTTAGTAAAGACACCACTCATATTGGATGAGGGCCTACCCTAAGGACCTCATTTTAACTTGATTATCTGCAGAGACCTTATTTCCAAACAAGGTCCCAGACACAGGACCTGGGGATTGGGGGAGACATAATTCAACCTCTGATAAGTCTCCTCACAGGGCGGGGCCCATTCTTGAACTGCCTGCGGGGTCTGGTCTTGGGAGCAGCTCAGCCCCCTCCTGCAGAGATGGGAGCATTTTCCACAGCTGGCAATTGTCTCGCAGGAGTCCCGTGCCCAGCAGAATTTCTGGGTGCAGTGCACAGTGGGGCCACAGCTGTGCTCTGTCATTTAGTGGGCCTTCTGAGCCGCGTTCCAGCTCCCTGTTCTGACAGACTGCTCTCCCTGGTGACCCTGCTCCCAGTGGCTTCCCCACAGTTTTGATCTGTAACCAGACCCCGTTCCCAGGAGCTGGCTTGGCACCATCTCTCCACACCCTGTCTTAGGGGACATCCTGACCTGCCCAGCCTGTCTTGCTCTTGCTTCTCAACCCAGAGCACTCCAGCTCCTTCAGGTATTAGGTGAGACCTCAGAAGCAGGGACAGCAGGATGTATCCCACACGCACCAGGCATTGTGCTGAGGAAGCCACGGTCACTCTCCTAATGGATCCTAGGGGTGAGGAAACCGAGCTTGTTACTCACGTGGTAGAACTGGAATCAGAACCTCAGCCACACCTCCGTCACCACACCACGCCCTGTTCAGGACGCTGGGGAAACCAGGCAGCTAGGATGGGCTTGTGCCTTGGGATACTTACCCAGACCACCCACCCTCACCCTCTTCACACCGCAAAGGCTCGGTCTACTTTTTTTGACATAGTTTTTATGTTGTCAGTATGGTGCGTATGCATATTTTAAGACGTCAAAGAGTTTTATAAGGTTTGTGAAAAAAATAGCAGGCCCCTGGCCTCCCAGACTGTCTCCCTGCAGCCCCTGCCCTGCCCGCTCCCATAGGCCACCACTCCAAGCTCTTGTCGCTTTGCCCTCTGGATTCATCGCCACATTTGTAACGAATATGGGCATGCTGCTATTTCTTAGTCCCCTGTGCGGTCAAGATGGTTGAACGCATAGGTTTCCCCGGTGAGAGCTGCTCCATCTAACCCTAACCCTGACTGTAATGTATAGAGTTATATCATCTTTAGGTGAATCCTTAGGCAGTGTGTAGGATATCAGTCAGTATAGGCTGCCTCATGAGGCAGGAACGAGCATCCCCAGAGCTGAGAGAGTTCCATTTCTCCAGCCTCCTGCCCTGGGGATGGGCGCCGAGTCTGCGGTAGGTTTGGGTCGGGGAGGGGCACCGGTACTCAGCAGGCAGCTGCTCACTGGTGTCACCGTGTTCCCCGCCCTCCTCTCACATGGAGCCCGTGGTGCCCTTTCCCCAGGATATCCCTGCTCAGGGGTCAGGGTGTCCTCCTCTGAGTGGCTAGGGGTCTGACCGCTCCCGCCCCCTGCTTCCTGCCTCACTCGCTTTCTGTGCTGCTGTCTCAGTGCTTGGGCCTTCTGGGGCCGTAGAGGTGAGCTGTGAGGCTGGACTTGAAAAGGCTTCTGTGCCTCCCCCTCTTCCCCAGGACGCCTCATCCCGGTGTGGCCTCAGCACTTGGTCTGGCCAGGTTTGCAGGTGCCGTTGTGATTTCTCATTCTGTGTTGGTTTTGAGTGATTTCAAGAGAAGGTGCAGGAAGGCTGTGACCCCACCTCTAAAAGCCAGCAGTCAGCCTGGCCACCCTGAAGCCTGCTCTAGTGGGCTTCCCGCCCTGTCACTCCGCTGTGACAGGCCCCACGAGGACAGACCCAACACGGGGCTTCTGCCCTCACCTTCCCGAGCACCCGGCAGCCCTGGTGCTGCTGATTTCCCTCTCCCTTCCCTGGTGGTCAGCCTCAGGAGGAAAGTGGCCAGTTTCTCACCATTAGATATGATGTTGTCTGTAGGTGTTTTAGAAAATTTAGGGAAAATTCGTATGACATAACATTAGCCATTACCATTTGAAAGTGTGTCATTCAGTAACACGTAGTGCATTTGCAGCGCTGGGCACACACCATCTGTATCTAGTTCCCACGTGTTTTCATCATCCCAGAGGGAAATGCTCCATGAAGCAGTCACTCCCCAGCCCCCAACCCCAGTCTCTGGCAACCGCAGTCTGCTTTCTGTCTTCATGGATTTACCTATTCTGGATATTTCCTATAAATTAGAAATCGTATACTTTATAGCGTTTTCTTTCTGGCTGCTTTGACTTGGCATAAAGTTTACACGGATCGTCCAGGTTGCGACACGTACCAGAACTTCTGTCCTTTTTAGGGCTGGGCAGTATTCCATTCTGCACATACACCACTTCTGTTCGTGCCCTCAGTTGATGAGTTTGGGTTATTTCCCCCTTTTGGCTGTCAGGAGTAATGCTGCTGTTAGCATGTGTGGACAGTGTTTGTTTCAGTACTTGTTTTGACTCGCGTGTGTGTGTGTGTGTGTGTGTGTGTGTGTGTGTGTGTGTGTTTAGGAGTGGAATTGTTTCATTATGTGGTAACTCCGAGTTTAACTTTGTGAGGAACTGTCAAACCATCTTCCACTTCAGCTGCACCGTTTTGCATTCCCACCAGCAGTGTGTGAGGGCTCTCTCTTTTCCCCATCCTGGCCAACACTTGTTAGTTTCTGTTTTTTTTTGTTTGTTTGTTTCTTTGTTTCATTCTGGCCAGCCTACCTGGTGTGAAGTGGGATCTGACTGTTCACTGGCATTTCCTGAATAGGTTTTTTTGTAGATGTTCTTTATCAAGCAGAGGGTGGGCTCTGCCTAATTTAGTGAGTGGTTTTTAATCAAAAGTGGGTGTTGGGTGTTTGTCAGATGCTTTTTCTGCATCAGTTAATCTGATCATACGACTTTTTCTCTTTAGTCTGTTGATGTGGTAGATTATATCTATTGATTTTTCTGATGTTGAACCAACATTGCAACCTTGGAAAAAATACCACTTGGTTATAGTGTATAGTTCTCCTTAAACATTATTAGATTTGATTTGCTAATAATTTGTGGTGGATTTTTAAGTTGTTTGCTCCTGAGAGGTAGTGATACATCATTTTCTTATAATTCCTTTGGTTTCGATGTTAGGATAATTCTGGCTTCATAAAATTAGTTAGGGAGTGTTGCATTTTCTTCCAATTTCTGGAATAGGTTGTGAAGAACTGGCATAATTTCTCCCTTAAATGTTTGGTAGAATTCACCACAGAAACCCACCTTTCTATGACTGATTTTAATTCCACTGTAGTCTGAGAACATATTTTTATGATTTTCCTGACTCTCACTCCCACCTGGAATCGTGTGTGTTATTTGATGATATACTCAGTTGTCATCTGTCTTCGTATCCTAATTAGAGCGTAAGCTCCAGAGAACTGTCATCAGTGTTCCCTCTCATCCTTACACCCACAAGATGGCCTGGCGCCCTCTGAATGAATACACCAAACGGGATCAATGAGGAGGCCAAGCCACCTGGCTACGGGTGGTTGCTAACCTGTAGGATTTCTCACGCTTGTGGTTTCAGTGAATTTGAGACACAGGTGAGTGAGGCTGCCAATGGGTGACTCCCAGATGTCCTCAACAAACAGAGGAGCGACTGCTGAGATCCAGGGGTGCAGCCTTTCCCGCCTGTCACGGGGAGCTGATGGGCTGTGTTTAGCATGGCACTCTGTGTGGTGCTGGTGCCCAGGCTGCCCTGGAGCAGCAGGTTGGCCCAGTCGACACAGAAGAAGCAGGGGGCTTTTCTGTGGTTACTTCCGCGTTGCCAGTTGTTCTGTCCCCTTCCTGTGGCTGAACCTGCTGTCCACACCTGTCCTGCATCCCCAGTGCTTGGTTTTTGAGATTAATAGTGGAACTTGTGTGCACATTGCAAAAAGCCAGTT